CATATAAATATACGTATATTATCATATAAATATACGTATATTTATTTATTTTAGTCTCTTAGGGAACTAATTTTTCTGCAATTCTTCAGCAGTTTTTCAGAAGCAGTTCGTAGGCGTAAATACGACAAGCTTTGGCAGAAGTTTCGAAAACAAGCTGTTTTCTTTTTTTCATTATTTTTGTGCAGAATCAACAAACAGGGAGAGCAGAGAGCTGAAAAACTATTGGCGTCATCGTGTTGTCGGTGGCACAACATTCATCTTCCTCGCGCCGGAAACGCCATTGGAAAACTCAGCAGCAGCAGTGGCTCTGAGTCGGCACTCTGGGCACGGTCTCTGCTGTTTTTCGCCAGAATTTAAATAAAAAGTGAATTTCTCATTTCAGAGCTGCTGCAGCAGGAGCCGCAGCAGCCAGTGCTGTAAGTGGAGCCAGCGGCTGTGAGTGATGGTTGCTGCTTGCTCACAGATTGAATGGAGTGCTTCCGACTTCCGGATTCGGGTTCAAATGCGAGCGCTGCACTTTCGTCTGGAAAACTGCAGTGCACCGCAAAAACTTGACAAACATTGCGCCCTGCTGCCGCCTCCCGCCCTCGCCAGCTCCCTTGGCAGCAGCCACCGCTTGGATTGACTTTGACTTGGCCAAGTTTCTCATCTTGGGGCTGGCAACTTTTTGCTTGAGTTTCGTTAGCAGCAGCAGCAGCAGCAGCAGCAGAAGCAGTGACTCCCGCGCAGGCTGACCGAACCGCAGACACTTTGTCTGCCACCCGGCCATAAATCTAAGTGTGCGTCCTGGCCGACGCACTCGTCCTGCAATATATGTATATAGAAAATGAAATGATTGCGAAACATCAAAGTGTTGCAGTTCACGGTGCGCCAGCTGAGAGTAATGTCTTCTCTGTTTTCCATATTTTTGTTGTTGCGGCAGCCAACCGTCAGCAGCTGGCGGCCAGTTAAATTGCCTCCGCTCATTCGGTTATTAAAGTCGTTCAAGAGCGCACCGGAAACTAAATGGGAAGTGTATTAGCTGGCAAAGCGGAAACGTATTAACTGATCACATATCTCGGACTCCTGTCCAGCATCAGTACCAATGCCGAGCACAACAACAAACCGACATCGACACCGAACCCGACACCGACAGAGCAGCGACAGCAACACGGTTATTGCTGGCTGCAGCAGGCGCCACTGCAGCAGGAAACGCAGTTTTGGCTGCCCGCCCGTCTGGTCATCCATTGACGCAAGTCCGCAGCTGTTTGCTTGCCCCAAACCTAGCCTCAGCCGGCCCAGCCCCAGCCCCATCATGCCACAGTGGCAGCCGGGCAAGGATGCTCTTAATTTATGGCATTGAACTTTTATTGGGCGAATTTCTGTTCATTTCCATGCGTGTATTAAGAATAATGGATGCATGTGCCGGAAGTGCTTCATTTGAAAAAGGGCGAATCTGTTGCCAGTGTGCCCAAGGCTATGCAGACGTGTATAGACATGCAAGTGTCTATCGATATATACATATATATTTAAATAAAGTTGTTTATTCTCACTGAATAATTGACTGACTGATTGATAATCGATGACACATGTTTGCCTTTCAATTTATTTGATCTAATATCTGATCACTTGCATGTGTTATAAACTTAAGATTCTTCAGATGACTCATGATGGGCAGGCAAATTGAAATAGAGCTTAGCTTAGCTTATTTAAAATGATATCATTCAGAGGAGAAGTACACAGAAATTACCAAAAAGTAAATCTCTCCATAGCTCTCTCTCTCTTTCTCACTATCCCTATATCTATCTATATCTATATATCTATCTCTTACTTTTTCTTTCTTTCTCTTTTTAATACATTCTCTTTATCTGCTTCTCTATTTGTTTATTCGATCTATTTCTCTCTCTAGCACTCTATTACGCCCTTTTCGCAGTCTTTAAATTTGCCTTAAATATATAGCCGGCTTAGTAAAAATATCGAAGCTTCAGTCGTCGTTAAATATGTATATTTAAATTAATTACAAAATATTTTTGCTGATATATATTCACAATTGTGCGACTTCATTAAATTCACGCATTCATTTATCATGAGTCCATTTCTGCGAATGCCATACAAATGTGCAAACAATGCAGTGCTGTGGTTAGCACTGCTCTGCAAAACTTGCATTTGTATGCAGCGGAGTTCATTTATAGATAGTGTCTTCAGTACTGAGAGAGGTAGAAAATTGTGATTCAACTGATGCATTTCTCTAAATTGAATTTTCTTTTGACTGTCCTTGCATAAACTAAGAAAAAAAATGTTTATTTTATAATCGGTCATTGTTTAAATTAAATTATAAATATACAGAAAATACTGGAAAGTCGAGATTTATTAGAATTTCAGGTTCATATCCATAGCATATCCAGGAAAATTCAATGATAAAATTCGCTTGGCTGGGCTGGTGAATTCAATAAAAAAATCACAGTGCGAAGTTGAGTGCAAAGAGTTGCATTTGCCACCGTGCAACCGCTAGGCGTTGCAAGTGCGTTTATGGTTTGATGATTTACAGTCACAGCCATAAATATTCGCACGGCCAGTGCGCACATTATTCGCGATTTATGCTGCGCCGCCATAATTCATGCAACAGCACATGTAAAATTTATGCAATTATTAATTTAACACTCCCACGCGCCACCCACGCCTTGCCACTGGTCCTCAGCACCACCTCTCGACTCTCCACTGACCCACTCTAGCTCGTATTATCAGCTACAAACAGGACACAAAGGCAGATCTATCTAATCTGACCCAGCTAAGCGTTTTGGCCGTACAAACCAATTTGGGGCGACAATGCAACAAATGAACTGCTGGCAGTTGGGCTCGTTGCTGGCACGAGCTCACCCACCCAGCCGCCAGTGCATCACCGCTGCACCACCAGCCGGCTGTGGAACCATAATTTACCCGACGAGCAAAAACACTCACGAAAATAATAAATGTCCAATATGTTAGCCTGGCTGGCAACATGGCAAAGTCGGCAAAAGGAACCAACGCCCACATAGCACCAAATCGACAGAGGCAACAGCAATAACAACAACAACAACAGTAGCAGCAATAACAACAATAAGAAGAAAAAAAAAAGCTCATTCATTTGGCATGTGTGAAACAAACAGCAGCTCCAAAGCGCGCCAGCCTAGAGGCTGAGGCTGGGCAGCCGGCTACGGTCCAGTGAAGGTTCGTCCTGGGGCTGGAAGTAACTGGCGCAGCCCTTAATGCAGGCCACCTGCTAGGCTCGAGTGGACGGAGCGGACGGAGCAGACGGACTGAGTTCGGCTAGAACATGGACAGCATGTCGCTCCATTAATTTGCCATAAAACAGAAGTGGACTAAAATTTGTTTGTAGTTGTCGTTGTTATTGTTGTTGTTGTTGTTGCTAAGGCTACAGCAAAAAATTACAAATGACACCAAGAACACCTAAAGATAGTTGGAGCACCACAAAGCCGACCCGCCCTAGCTAATTTATGAACCAACCAATTTTGATGTTCTGTAAAATGTCCACAATGACATATTGAGAACAGCGCAAAGAGCAGGTGGAGATAAGCCGAAGATATTAAAAGAACATATCTACGATTGAGAACACTGTCCTGGAATGCATAAATTCAAAGGGAATCCGGTCAGACTCCATGTTATGTAGTTGCATGTCAGCTTCTCTCGTTATGTAGTTTCATCAATAAATTGGCTAAATTTGTGATATGGAAAATTTTGTAAAATCTTTATAGATCTAAAGGCCTTAATTATAAATAGTGAAGAAAAAAAAAAATTAAAATAAATATAGTGTTTATAGAAGTGTAAATAACTTTTATTCAGAATTGATTAATATTTAATGATCCAAATATTTAGGCAAATGCTTTGTAGAGCATATTATTAATAATATTAATTATAATATATTATCGGTAAGAGCTTTTATGATAGCAATTATTT